TCTTGGATTTGTGTGACTCTTGAAATGTTTCAAATGTCAGATTTTCTGCACAATGGTGCTGGGGAATTGTCCCTACTCAAAGGTGTGTCCCAGAACTGCAGAGGGCTTGTTTTGTACAGGATGTTCTTTATTTAGTGCTGCTTGTAAAGCCTCTGGCCCAACGGGATTCCCTGCCTCGCTGGCATGAAGATGTTATCACTGTAAATATCCCTGCTGTTCTGCAGGCCTGCACCTGCAGTGCTGTTGGGGTGGTGGCAGAAATCAATCAGAGGAGCAGGAAAACCCATGGGTGGAGATCTTCAGAGCTGCCAGTTCCCCTGGGCACCCAAATCCCCCAGGCAGCTCAGGCAACCTCAGCCTGTGATTATTATCAGTGAACATTGTGCTGTTCGGAGCAGGTGAGAGTGGCTAGAAGGAGCTGCCTTAAATCCAAGGAATTTATATGCCACCTTATTATCATAGTAACTGTGTCAGTGAATAGATGGGGTGTTTTCTTACTGCATTTCACCACTTTGGTGACTGAGACACAGAAAAGCCAACAGTCTAGCCAGAAATCTGTCCATTTAGGAATTTGAACAGAAATGTTCTATATTCCAGGCCAGTGCCCTAACGTGCATCTTCCCTGCCTTGTTATCACGCGTTAAGGGAGAGATGGATGATTTCAGTATGTCATTTTCATAGGGAGTGTTGACATTTCATTGTTTTCTCCTTTACTCCTATGAAATAACTTCTGAAATTCTTTCTTGTAGTAAATTAGGCATTTTGAAGTTATAATATTTTAACAAGGTTTTCTTACTATTTCTATATTAATCCATGTTGTTTCCAATTCTGAATTTGTTTCATTGTAATTTTGGTTTACAATAAGCCAATATTTTAATCCAACCTCCTGATTTTTCCCAAATCATCATCTTCAACAAAAATTTTATTTGTGATTGATTTCACAATATGTCCCTGTGCAAATAGAAAAATGGTAGTGAACTGTCAGCATTCCAAGATAAAATAAAAATAAAAAATCCAGAAGTACAAATAACCAAAAGATCCAGTGGGGTTTTTTCATTTAAATTGGTGTAATATTACTGAAACATAGAAATCAGTTTTGTGTCAATAGCTTTCCCACAGTCAATCTGTTGAGATGAAAAGGTTGCAGTCAATGTTGTCTGAGACTAGCTGAACTCTCACAAAGTAGATACAAAAAAGTAGCAGGAATATTTTCACAGCCATAATCAGAAATTCTCCTACAAAGCCAACGCCATACAAAAGTTTTGAAAGAGAGCAAAGATGAACATTCAACAACAAAACTGCTTTTTAGTACTTCTCTTTACCTTGTTCTGCCATCCTCTCTCACCTTGTAAACCACCTCCATGGAACCTCATCCCTCCTGTTTTTGCAGTGGTGAGCCTGATAGGAAAACAGAGTGAAAATTAATTTAATGTGGATGGGTAATTGTGTCCCACCTCGATTCCTGTGCTGCTTGCAGCTCTGTGGTGCCCGAGTGCAGTGAACAGCGTGGCTCACAGCTGGCACGTGTTTGTTCTCTCACCCTCCTCGGGGGAAATCACTTTTGGTTGAGTGATTTGGGAGGAATTCTTTCTAAATATGTGCACAGGGGTTGCTAAATATTTGCTAGGAAAAGGCCAGCCAAATGAATTTCTCTCAGAGTGGAGAAAAATGGAGTTTGTGAGGATTATCCTGCCTCAGGAGTTAACAGTGTAGGAATTGGTTCTTGCCTGCACAGAGATGTGGTGCTGCTGCCACAGATGCAGCATTCCTTCTGGGAGGCTGTCAGGGAACCTGGAGGTGAGGACTCACACACACACACAGAGAATATATAATAATTTTAATGAAAATATTTATTCCTTACTCTGCTTAAGCAGAAGAACTCCGAAGCAGTGCCCTGGCTGGGAGGCAAATACCACTCGTGGAGTCTCACACAGAAAATCAGGATCCAGGGAATCAATCATGTTCTCAGAACTGCTCACAAGTTATCCAGCATGCAAAGCAGAAACAGGACATGTTCTTCCTGAGACACTGAGTCTCCAGGGTGTTCCAGGGTAGAGAATGCCTCATATTTATTGCCCTGTGCAGAATTTCTGTGTGTTCCCATATGTAGAGCTTTGTCCCTGGCATCTGTGTCCCTTTCAGTGCTGCCCTGTGGGACTCCTGGTTGTGCTCAGTGCATCACATCTCTGCCTCACTGATTCTGCACTGATCCAGAGGCACAGCCTCCCTGGAAGGGCTTTCCTGTCCCCTCACCATGTTGTGGAGAGGAAGGAAGGGAGAGAACACCAAGAAAAGATGGTGATCATTTCACTTCTCTGTGCCTCAGCACCTCTAGCAATAAAAATATGTAAAATTTTCTCCTCTATTAAACTTTGAGGTTCAATTTATGACTGTTCATAAGGGCAGAAGCCACTATAGAAATGGATTTTTTTGAGTATTCAGGTAATTATTAGCTTTTAGAATTATCACAGCTCTGAGCTAGGCTTTGCTACATATGCATGTTTGTCCTTCATTTCCTACAGCAATTTGTTTTTCCTGTGAATAAAACATTTGCAGACACCTTAAGCACTGTTTTTTTACATCACTCTTTTTGTTTAGGATACAAAAGAGATTGGGGTGATAATTGCTGTCTTCTAAGTAACCTCATACAGACTTGAGCATCTTAACAGTACAAGTTCTTCTCCAGGGAGCTTGTACCTGGACAGTGCACCCTGTAATGGAACAAATAATTAAATCCAGCAAGTTTGGTGAAAAATATAATCAAAATGCAGGTGATTTCTTCTTTATGTAGCTTTTTTGCCTTTCCTTGCCCAACACCTGCTTGTTGCTGTTGTACTGAGCCCCTGCCTGGCTCTTTGTGCTCTCCTGCCCCTGGTCCAGAGCATCACTCTTGGTTCCCAGGAGGGCTTCAGGCTCAACAGAAACTGCTGTGCTGGGAGAGGTCTGCCAAAAAAAATCCTCTGGTGCCTCTTTGGAGGGGAATTAAAGGAGCTCTTGGGAAGGGATGAGTAGCATGAAGGATTGGCACCTTCACCTGCTGCTTTCTGTGAATCACTGGGCACCCAATTCTAAAGTGAGCATGGCTTGTGAGGGTTTTGCCCTAAAACAAGCTCTGTTCCCATCCATGGAGGAGCTGTGGCTGTGTGAGGGTTCTGCCTGAGGCTGTTTTTGGGAAGGCTGAGTGGTTTCAAGACATGGTGTGGGAGAGCTGCTGTCCCTTTCCTTTGCTCTGTGACTTTCATGCATCCACACAGACAATTCTGTTCTCTTACCAGCTTTCCCAAAAACTGGAAATGAGCTAGAGGAGAAATTAAAACTATCAGCTTGCCCTCAAATACCCTGTGAATATGATTTTTTTTAATAAAAGCTCTTCTAGATGTGATGAACAATAATCTATCTTTCTCCAGGCTATTGACTTTCCTATAGAGAACAAGGCAGAGCAGTGTCCTTCCTGCAGCAATCACAGAGGCTGTTAAACACCACCTCCTGGGAGGACCTTGTTCTCATCTAAGCATGATGCTTTTCTGACTAATTTAAATTTATCCTTATTCAGCTTCATTGGTGTCAGGGCTGCTCCTCAAAATGGAACCTTTTTCATAGGTGAAAGTCTCTAAATGCTAATCTGGAAGGAGGCAGACTTATGCCAGATTTTTTAAGTTATCTATTTAAAATTCCACTTAAAAATTAATACAGGTTAGTTTTAAGATTATATTTTTATGTGAAGTGGCTTTTAGGTAAGGAATTTATTTTTTGCTTATGTTATTCCCCCTTCTTCTGTATCAGTCTGTGCAAGTATTCCTTGGAATACAATGTGGCAGGATAACATTAGCTTTGCTTTGTGGATATCTTCAGAGCTGATGTCATGGTAGCCTCTCTGTGTGGGATCTAAAAGTAATTTTTGATGTTTAATATGATTAATTTTCTTCTTTTCAATATTTTTGTAAAGGATGGCTTCACGGTTTTCTGTTATTTTCTTTGTAGAAACCTTTCCTTTGATTTGTCCTCTGTATTAAAAAACATAGGGTTTTGCAGCAGGGCTGGTTTGGTTTGATTCTAAACATTTTTATTAACACTGAAGCCAATAGAAAGACTCAATGTTAGGAGAAGAGATATTATTTTCCTTGTACAACAACAGAGTCATCATGTGAGAATTCTGCTGTCCCCTCTTGAGCCCAGGGCTCTCCCATTCCTGTCCTTCCAGTTTGCTGCCACCTTCCAGGTGCTGCTCAGCTTCCCTCGTGGTGCCACCACTGCAGCTGCTGGGAGCTGAGTGTGAAGTCCAGGCAAGAGAACACAACTCGACTCCTTGACTTTCCCTCCTGGAAAAGGGAGGAGTGTGGGAGGCAGGAGAAGCAGGGATGGCTGCAAGGCTGAGTGGTTTTCTAAAGGATTCTGTGAGACATCAGCTGCTCTGAAAAAGCAGAAGCTGAGAGCAATCCTGCTGTAAAACTGACTTATTTCTGATCTCTACCATGAAAAATTGTGATGTGCTGTGATAAAAATGGTCGTGTTGATTTCTGGGCAAGCTTGGCAAATCATGCACCTTTGTCTGTCCAGTCTCTCCTGGCTTTGGGATTTTTGCATCATCCTTCCCATGTTAATAAATGAACTGTAACATCCATAAAACTTTTCTGAAACAAATCTGGGATTAGCCTAGTTCAGGGAGCATCTGGATCAGTGGTGCTGTGCCCTGTGCACTGAGAAGATGCCAGGAGCTGACTTTGTCATGCACTGGCTGTTGAAGGAAGTGGTGGAGTCACCATCCTTGGAGTGTTTAAAAGATGTGATGCTTAGGGAGATGTTTCAGTGGCCGGCTTAGCAGAACTGGGTTAAGAGTTGGACTTAAGAATATTTAAGATGTTTTCCTGTATGGACAATTCTCTGTTTCTAAACTGGTGTTCTGGGCTTGGTTTAAAACCCTGACTAAGCTTATTATATGTGTTCAGTTCCTATCTGCTATGTGGTTATTTAAATGGAAATGTCCTCCTCTTGCTTTCCAGGCCCTCTATCCTTCCTTTCTTACTGATGCTCTTGACCTGAGTTCCTTGGGTGCTCCTCTGCCATCTACCAAGGTGCAAAATTTGCAAAATTATCTACTGCCTCCAACCCTAGCCTTCTTCCATCCATGGGATGCTCCCTCCAGTCCTGTCTGGTAAGTCTCCTGCCTTTTACATTCAAATAGTTCTTTAAAAAGTCATAATACATCCCAGAAAAATCCACTTTGGGAGTAGTAAAACAAAATGTATTTTATGCATTCAGCATTTTCTTCATTGAATTAAAGGCAAAGAAGTAAAAGAATTTTTACCTTCTTGTCTGTAAAGTTTGGAACAAGCTGACTTCAACATGGACTAAAGCTCTAAAGAATTTGAGAAAAATAATTTATAACATGACTTGGTTTGTGTGAAAGGCCAAGGATAACTTGCCACATGCTTGCAGATCACCTCAGCTGTCCTGGCAAAGCTGCAGTGGGCACTGCCCTGCCACAGCACCTGGAGGATCCTGGGGGTCAGTGCTGGCTGAAACTCTGGTTCCTTCCTTACCTTTTGTTTTTCATAAGGGCCACCCATCAAAGAGAACACAGGCTTTGGGCTGGAAACAATTTTTTTTTAGTGCTGGATGTGCAAATACTGAGTTGCTACACGAGGAGGGTGTGATGTGCTGGTTGCCTGAGGTATTTGCTTCCAGCACGTTCCCTGTCTGTGATACTCAGAACTGCAGAAACCTGCCAGTGTGAATTATCTGGGCAGCTGCTGTGGAGCTCATAGAACTGTCATAACCTCATTTTAACTTCTCTCAGATGTGCCAAACATTCAACACTAAAGAACACTCTGGGCCAGCTCTTTGAGGGTCCAGCAATTTCTTGTGGCTTAGGCAGTACCAGAGAAGGTTCTCGCTTTGCCCTGCTGACTTCTAAAGATGAGAGTTTTGATTCTCAGCAACATCTGGACCTCTCTTACATCCAGCTGGTGTGGGAAGCTTATTAACCTTTGCCGAGCAGAACTTGCCTTTTGAAAAATGGATCAAAAGAACATGTTTTGATACATTAAAAAATGCATGTCATAAAACTGCTGTTTCTGTGCCTGCCAAAGCCAAGAGCTGCTCAGGCGTGAGAAAGAGCAAAGAGAAAAAAAGCCAATAAAAGCTATCCAAGCCTAACAGAAATATTAGGAACGGAGATGAAAGACAACCGCCTGGGATGCCCATGAAACAACTGATTTTAATCCCCTGCTGGTGCTACACGTTTCCTTAGAAAGGGAATTTATAGATGAAGGAAAGATTGCATGGATAACGTGCTTGGTCAGTGCTTGTAACCCTCAGCCTGGGGCCAAAAAATCCTGAAAGGCAAAGAATTATGCCTTTTTTTTTTTAGATATCAGGAATTCCCCTATTTCGTGCATGTCCTCTGCAGATCTGATAGTTTTTAGGGAAGGAGTGTTGGCCTCCAGTCATACAGAAAGGAGGCAGCAAACATGCACAGGGAGGAGGTTCTCTGGACTTAGGAGCTGCTCAGTCTTTGGAAAAATGTAGCTGAATGGAATTTATAACTGATTGGAGAGACTGGAAGAGTTTGGAAATGGTAGCACCAACTTCATACTGCTGAGATAAAGCTTGTAATACAGTGGGCTTGTGAAAACCTTCAGGATTTATCCTTATGCAGCAATATGAGTTTGGACAGTGGCCAAGATGCCATCTGCAAGTGTCCAACAAAAATCCAAAACACTTTATAGAATAGATATTGCTTTCCCTCCACTCCCCAACAGCAGTTCCAGCCAAGTGGGAATGGAGGAATTTTATAAGATTAGTGAGCTACAGGCTGCAAGCAGAGAGCTAACCTTGTCTGTCTCTAAAGCCAGGGGTATAATCTCTAAATTAAATTTACATGATTTATCACGTCCAGGAAGATTGGTGAAATAACCAGAAAAAGTAGAGGGGAAGGAGAAGAGATGATGGCCATTGGACTGGAGGGGTTTTGTCTTGTCAGTGGTAAAATGCACAATTCAAACCACTGAAATGGGATTAGTAGTGGGTCCCCAAACCAAATTGTACTGAAACACAGAGGTGCTTAATATATTGTTTGCAAAATGCAATATCTCAGGACAGAGACCCATCTGTTGTCACGGAGGAATCAGATGGAAAGTGCATTAAAAGTTGGAATTAGTCCCCACTGGGAGATCTACACTGAGTCATTGTGATATATGGGATCTGTGCAAAGGGAAGAGAGACAATATTGTCCCTATGATTTATGCATTGCAGTCACTCCACTTTCTCCAGCATTCCTGCTCTGTTGGCTGCAGACAGCAGCAAAGAGGGGGTCCCCCTGGCTCCTGTGCGGTCTTGTTGTGCTGGGGGTTTAGTGGTGGGGCAGCTCTGTTAGGATGGGGAAACATGTCTGGAAAGCAAGGAGAAACTCACACAAAATGCTAAGACCAACAGAACCTGGCCCAGGAGAAGAAATAGCAGATTTGATGCATTTTATTCACTTGGTGCCCTAATGTAGAGTCAAAACATAGAAGGATGATTTATTTAAGCATCTCAAGTATGTTTCTTCTTCACAGCCAGCTTCCATGGCATCTAGTAAAGGCCCTGTAACTGTAAATCTGGGGAGAACAAACTGGGAGTTAGGGCTGTGCAAGACCAGGCTGCCTTTGGAACAGTGTGGGTCTGCAACCAGGCTCAGTCCATGGGTGAAGAAGAGCTAAAATCATGTTTGTCTATATAGGTAAAATAAGAATTAGACCCAGGACAGCTGCAGCTGCTGAGCCTGTGGTGCTCCTAATAAAACTCAGCCTGTCTTTCCTTCTGTGATCCCCAGCACACCCCACTGCTGCTGAGCTGTACGGGCCTGGCTTTCATCCAGCCAAGTACTCTGATTTTACTTTGCTGCTTCTTAAGTAAAGCTACAGCTAGGGCAGGTATAAAGCCACATCTTGCAAACCTCCCCTCCACACCTTGCAAAGGGACTGATAAAAGCTTTCTTGTTATCCCTGGGAAATCTGGGTGCCTCCTAGGGAAGAACTATGAAATCGTTTCCCTTGTTAACTGCTGGGATCTTCTTGGAAATCCTATCATATTTCATTTTTATTACCTGTTACTAGAACTGTCCAGGTGGCTTATTGAAGAACACTTGTCAAAAAAATGTAGCATTCTTCTTTTATTAGGAATAAGTGAAATTTACCTCATAACCCAATCTCCTTCTAAAATAACTATAGATCCAGGCACAAGGAATCAAAGATGATGTATTTTCTTCATTTTTTTGCATTAGCATTCATCATATTTCCTTGTATTTTTCCATATTTTTTCTTTTTTTTTTTTTTCCCTTAAATAACCCCCCCAGGTATTTAAAGGCTAATAAAGACCATTTTGTTTTGTTTTTGCTGAGTTTTTCTGGTTAGCTGAAGCTGGCACATGGCCAGACTCACATCCACATAGCCTCTGTTAAAACATGGTGGGGTGCCACTCCAAGGAGACACCTCATTAAATTCATCTTTGTCACCTTCTCAGGAGCTCTGCAGTGATTAAGGTTGGGATTTTCCTCACCTCATCCCTGAGCCAGTTCCCCTATCCATGCTAACAGGCATTTTCACAGGTAGCCAGGATTACTTGCCCTCTAAAATGTGTTTCTCTCTCTCTGCTGTTGAGTGAGCCTGGATGACAGGCCCAGGTTACACACTTCATTTCTAGATGCTTAAAATGAGATGAATTCCATTCTCCAATTCCTTCAAAACTATTTATTTGATTTTTCTTCCCTGCTGCCTCTGCCAAGAGTGTTTCAGATTGGTTCTTCCCTGCATGGAGAGATCCTCACTCAATTGCTCCAAGGCTTGACCTTTCCTGAGCTTTTTCATTTATGCCACCTGCTTCCCACATTTGACATAGCCCTAAACAGTTTCAGATCATCTCATGAATTCTCTTCAGAGTTATGTTTTCCCTTGGTCACCTCTGAGTCTCCTCTCTCCCAGTCAATGCAGGGCATGTTTGCCCAGTGCTTCTGTGTGAGGTGCCGAGCTGCTGATTCTGGTATTGCCTGAGCTCCTTCCTCACAGCAGCATCTCCTGGGCCAAGCTCTGCCTTGCTGGGAATGTGACAGACAGGGAGAGAAAGGACACGAGGAAATTGTTTTTCCTTGGCAGAAGCTCTTGTGCTGGAAGAGCCCTGGTGCAGCTGAATGTCTCTAGAGCTGTGAGGAGGTTGCTGAAGGCAGTACAGGAGCTCCATGAAGGGGGTTTGTGCCCAGATGGTGGGAGCTTTTGGGCAAAATGGAATAGCTCATTGCTCTCTGGCTTTGCCTGGTTGGTTTTATTTATTTTTTTTTGTTTTGTTTTGTTGTTGTTGTTTATTTTGTTTTTTTTTCCTCTCCCGAAATAAACATTTGGGACCCTTAGGAACACTGGAAAAAAGGTTGGAAGTTTGCTGATCAGCTTCCAGGCCACATATACATATTTCCCTCTTTATTTCTTTTCCTATCTAGTTACCCTGAAATTCACTTTCCCATGATCTGGGTTGTTTTTTTAGCTTGGGCACCAGAGTACTGTGGAGAGAAGTGCCATTAAAGCAGAGCATGGCATTACCTAAATGGCACAGTTGTGATTTGTGCTGTAGTTGGAACTGGTTTTGTGTAAATCACTACCCAGCACTGTGTATTGCACAATGTGAGCATCTTGATCACAATCTCAGTTCATTGCTTGCTGAAATCTAATCCTGTGCCTTCATGTGCTCTCAGGAGCTTTTAGCTGAGGTACACACAGAGCCTTGGGACAACAGTGTAAGGAAGGCTGACATGAGAGAGAATTGGCTTTTTGAGGAAAAAATTGATGAAGAACTGGGAGGGAGAGAAGCTGTTTAACATTCTGGGCTTGCTCAGATACACAGAGAGAAATCAGTCTTCCCTCTGGTGAGGGGTGGGGTGGACCCATCCTGCCCCACTGCAGCTTGTCCCTGCACTGTCCCTGCCTGTTCCTGAGACCTGCAGGCTGGGGCTTGCACTGCATGCACCTTTTTAGCTCTGTCTCTGCTGCTGGAGCCAGCCAAGGTTGTGTCTGCCAGAGCTGGGTGATCCTGCTCTGAGAGGGGAAAAATATCCACTGTAAGCCTCACATCACTGATCTGGAAGAACAACTCACAGGAACCAGGAGAATGAATGATTTATCAAAG